AACTTTGCAAGTCAGTGGTTGGAATGCCAATTACAATAACAACCACCAACTTGGGGGGCATTTGTTAGTATGAAAATTTTGGGTGAAGTTCCAATATGAGATTGATGAAAAGGAGTTATCGAGCCCACTAAGAAAAGAATAAAAAAATTGAGCCCAAGAAAGATGTTGGATGCTAATGTATTCCCAAAACAATATTGAGTAGGTTTAAAAGAGAGAGAGAGAGAGAGAGAGAGAGAGAGAGAGAAATATACCATTCGATCCAAACCCAAGAGTGTTAGGTAGGGCCCATACCTACCACATAGAAGATTGAATATTGAGACAAAGCCCACCATTCATGGCAATTAAAAAGATTTTCTTAAACTCTGAAATCAATTAGAGAGGCTTTCTCTAATCAATTTTAGTGGCAACCATGCCTAATTAACAATTTGGTTAAAAGGAAAATTTGATTAGATGATCCAAGGAGGATTAGCTTAATTCAATTAATGGATTTCCTTCCTTATGTGGGCCATATTTTCTTGACAAGTGGCACTTTTAAAACCTCTTCCAACCAACCTTATTTATACAAAGATCACCGATTTGTTAATTGAAGATCTCAAACCAGCCAATTTTCCTAAATAATACAAAATTATAATTATGAGAATCCCTTTCAAATCAATTTGCGGGTCCCATGTCAATCAGCATTAAATTCCAACAATTATTGGTGGATTCAAATCAATTTAAATCCTTTGGACCAGCTCATCGGCCAAGGGAAACCTCTATAAATAGAGGAGAAAACAAGAGGAAGCTCTAGCCCTCCTTTGGTTCTTCCTTGGGACCCTTTCTTCGGTTCTCACACTTCAGCTCCTCAATTCCTTTGCCTATTCTTATTTCTTTCAAAAAAAGGGGGGAAAAGAATGAACGATTGCACCAAGATCAAGGGAAGAAGGATCAGAACTTTGGATCCTCAACCATTGAAGCTCCAAAACTGTTACAGCTTTGTGCAACATTGGCTGAAAGATTTCGGCCTTTGAGTTGTTGCAATCAAAAACTTCATCAAATTACTACAATCAAAAAAAAAAAGAAAGTTCTCCTATCTTGTGCACGTACAATTGATCGTTACAAGTTCTTTCTACAACTGCAAGTTATCAAACTTTTCAAATCGTGTCCGCGACAAGCTACAAGTACAAGTTTGGGTTGTGTTCGTGACATGAGAATCAGAGGATTTTCTTTGCCAAAAAAAAAGAGTTTGTATCCCACTTACATTTCTGCAAAAAAAATAAATAAATAAATTTCTTTGAATTTATCCGCATTAATTTTTGTGCTCCAAATTTAACGCGAAATTTGTATCGACATACACTAATTGGGTTCGTTTGGATAATCCTCTTGAACATTCTGTCTCTACTTTTGCAAAATGCACAATCACTATTTGTGTGTTTGGAAGGCTAGGTGCACATTGATATTTGAGGGAATTAAATTTGATCCTCATCACGTGGTTGCTTCAATTCATTCTTTTGTTCAGGACTTATTTCATTGATTGATTTGAATCCAGTCAATTCTACTATTGCAACTCCTCAACTCCCTTCGCGCCCTCGATGGGTTTGCCCACCGCATATTTGGATCAAAGTGAATTTTGATGGTGCTTGCGTTCTCAAGCAGGAGAAGGGTTAGTTATTCGAGATCATTGTGGCTCATTTATCGTGGCTCAAGCTATTCTGTTTTCCACTCACTCATCGGTTCAATGTGAGGCATTGGCTCTTCTTGAATCTATTAATTTGGTCTTAAAGTTTGAAATGGGCTTTGTTATCTTTGAGTGAGATGCTCTACAGGTAATTGACTCTCTGTTGAGAAGCTTTCTTCACTTCCTTGGCGGATTCACAATATTCTTGCCGATTGTAGAGAACTTCTTTCCAAAATCTCCTACTACTCAATGGTTTTTATAAGATATGGTTGTAATACTATAGCTCATAAGGTGGCACGCCGCGCTCTCGTGGTTCCTAGTAAGCCTGTAAATGGTATTCAAAAATTCGAATTCGAATCTGAGATTCGACATAATCGAATCGAACTCAGATAATTCGAATTGGACATTCGGTCAAATTCAAATACCATTTTTTTACCGAATAAATTATCGGATCAAATTCGGATATACATTGATCTGATCCGATAAATATCCGAACCAATTATATATATAACTAAAAAAAAGTTAATAAAACAATTTCATTGAGAAAATGAGAAATGAGTTTGAAATCCAAGTTTTGACTTTCGAACCTTACCTCTCCCCAGTCTCCACTCTCCATCTTTCAAGTTTCAAACCCTAACCCTAAGTTCCTAACCCTTCGTCCCTCCCTTCGCTGTTGCCGGATGCCGCCCGAGCAACCACCATCATCGGACACCACTCCTCATCCTCCGCTGCCCCGCCTGTACTCTCTTGCCAGTCGTCTCTCATCTTTCCTCTATCTCTCTTCTCTTAGTGACTCAATATCGCTGCCGCCCAAGCAACAACCACCATCAATGGCAGCGTCAGTGATAGGAATCGAGCACCGGTCACCGGCCACTACCATCTCCTTCGTCGTTGCTCAATGCCTCAAGGCCCTCAATCGTTCAGCATCACCGGCCACTATGTTGCAACAGTCCAGCATCAACGGCCAACACTGCTCACTGCTATCGCATTCGCACCGTCGGGAACCCACAATTGCCACCATCACACACTCACACTTGGCCCACTGCCAGGAACCCACGATTGCGGCCGTCAATCCCCTGCATCAAGTAATCGATCGAATTTGAATCGAATCAAATCTAGCCTGATTCAAATCTAACCTGATTCGATTCGAATTCGATCCGTTTATAGGCCTAGTTCCTAGGCCTATCACTTGGTCTTTACCACCAAATTTCCTTTGTAATTTCTGTATCTTCTGATGTATTGGTCCATTGAGTTGAATTAATGTTTTGCCTGCATAAACAAACAAACAAACTTAACCAGTTTGTGTCAATTAGGTGCTCCTTGTATTTAAAGCCCCACCATGTTAATTTTACAATGGATTTTGGATTTCCAATGATATTTTATCTTGATTGTTATCAAAGGTAAAGTAGTTACTTTTTTTCCGTGTTTTTTCACTTTTGTATAAAATCAATATAACAAATATATACATATAAATATTCTTATATTTTCATCCCACATATTTATTTAATCATTCTTCCACTCTTACCAAAACATTTAGGTTGGCGATAACATGATTCAATCATACTAGAGAGAATATTAAGAAACAAATAAAATATAAAAAATATAAAATTAAATTTGTGCTAGATTTAGGACAAAGCATAGCTTTGGAAATAGAAAAGAAAATTGTATAAAGTTCTCTACTCTACGGTTCAAAATATCGATACAAGTCGATATGCCTCAGTACTGTTTTTTTATGTTTTTTTTTAATTTTTTCGAAACTGGTTCAGAGGGGCCAGTTTAAGGCCGATCTACCCCTGAACCACTCACCAACTTGAAACACCCCCTATAGGGGCATATCGGAAAGGCTCCGATATGATACGTATCGGCCGATATAGGCCGATACATATGACGGAATTTTGATCCTTGCTCTACTCTAAAATTAAAACAATATCCTTTTATAAAATTTTCAATAAAAAAATATATAGTCCAGAATGATCTATTATCAAAAAAGAAGTCCAGAATGATCCAGTTCTAGCAAATCCTACTAAGGGCGCATTTGGCTTTAGATTCTCAAAACACTTGTTTGGGCCGGGCCAGGTTCAAGCCAGGCTTTGCCTCTATATTAGCAGAATATATTCAAGCCCAAACCTGAGCCTAGCCCAACTATTGGGCTTAGATCTTGAGCCCAAGCTCAAAGCCCAACCAAGAAACTTAGGCAAGGATTTTTTGTTTTACTCAACTACAAAACTAATTTATTTATATTAAAAAACATCAAAACCAAGGTTCAAAGCATCGATACGTATCAGCCCGTATCGACCGATACATATCATGCCGGTGGCTTCCTGATACGCCCCTACTGGGGGTGTATCGGGGTTCTGACTGGTTCAGGGGTGGAGGATACTTAAACCGACCCTCCTGAACCGGTTTTAAAAAAAAATAAATAAATAAGGGATGAAAACACTATCGATGTCCCCCGATACGCCCCTACCGATGTATCGGGCATATCAATATTTTGAACCTTGCTCAAAACCCAAATATACCAAAAGATCTCAGTATGACTTGAGAAAAAGATAAGAGAAAGAAAAAACTATGTATTATATTTTTATTATATATAACATTATCGAGTCGGGCTTTTGAGAAAACTCTAAGTCCGGCCCAAAAAAAAATCAGGGCTAGCGTTTTGAGCCTGAGCCCAAGCCCGCGAACCCAAAATCTTGTCCAAGCCTCAGTCCAGGCTGGCCCGTCAGGCTACCCAGCAAAAGGAAAATATTCTTCTGGGCACAAATTGACAAAAGAACGAATTAGGTTTGCACTTTTATTTTTCATTTATCAGATGGATCTGATTATGACATGATATCCAATGCTTGCTAATTTTAGCGCAAGTGAGCTGCTTGGTGAATCACAATGCTTGTAGTTGAAACATGGTCATATTTGGCAGAGTAATGAGGGTTGCCGATCTGTTACTATACAAATTACAAAATGAGTTATATGCCACCATTAACAAAAATATCCATTAAGTACCATGTAGCACGCGCGTACCCCTCCAAAACCTTAACCTCAAGATGGACATGACAATTGGCAAGGCACATTAATATCAGGTAAGAAACAAATAAATGGTATAACCAGTAGAAAAATCTGAAATCCACTGGAGTCGACAACTCAGTCACTTGGGACAACGCCAATTTTGCACTCCTCAAATCTCAAAGGAACCAAGACAATGACAAATTGGCTGGCTACATTTTGCACAGAAATTGAATGAAAATACGATTCTGGGTTCTGCGACATGATCGTGATCGGGACTGACTTCAACAAGTAATACTAATTTTAATATCAGGCATGCTACATTGTAATCAAAGAATTGAAATGAACTTTGGCTGCTGCTGTGAGAAAAAGGATAGTAAAAGGGTAAAAGTTCTATTACTACAACCAATTTAAAACCCCATCCACCAAACTCACAGGATGGAGTAAATTGCTTTCTGCACCTGCATACATCGACCAGTCGTCTTACCTATCACTGAACCTTTTAAGTGTCTTTTGCCATTCTTGTTCATGAACAACTAGCAAGAATGGCTAAAGTCAAAATTCTTAAATTGCTTATTACAGTGAAATCATAATTGTCGGAATTCAAAAGAAGAAATGAAAAAAAAAAAGAAATAGAGGGGTAAAAGGAAAGAAAATAACCAAACAATTAAAGAAACTGAACTCTTGCTTTTGAATATTCCTACCTTTGCTCGCCAAGACGAACAGCCAACATAATTGGTGCCACTACCAGCAGGAAAATTTTAAAAAGGCTCCTGATTCAGCAGCTCAATCATCTTTTCTGAGAAGGAGAACAGAGCAGGCCAGATGCATCTGCTCCAACAACTGCAAGCTCACAAACATTACAGAGCTGTCCCTCCTGGGCTGGCACAAACCGCAAACTGCAATATGGGCATGAGACATCCTTCTGCCCCCGGTATATTGGTACATATGTTGCCCCACAAACCACAAATGGGTTTCTGAAATCATAGTTCAATTGGCTAGCATCTTTCATGTTCCTCTCAGCTGCCTGCAGGACTTGCCTGGCCATCTTAGATTGGTTTTCAACAGTGGGGTTAGTCTCCAAAAGCCGTCTAGCAAAGTTTGCAGCTGTGCTGAGGTTCCCTGACTTGTAGCAAACAGTCATGGCATTCAACAATGCAAGCCTCAAGTGAGGCATCTGAAGGTTGCAGTGGGTGAAGTAAGCAGCAAGTTCTTGCTGGCGTACTGGGTTGTCCTTAAGTTCCCTCCTCTTCAATTCCATCTTTAATCCCAGTACGTACTCTTTTGCTATGATAATAAGTTCCTTGACTTCATCTACCTCTCTCCTTGATTCAACAACAATCAGAGGAATGGTGTGCAGGATACTTAGGAAGAGGCGTAGAGCCTCGGTGAATTTCCCAGCTGTTGTTGCCTTGTACCCAGCCTTAAGCTTCTCTTCCAACTGGGAGAAGTTGAACACAAGTGCTGGTGGACTCCTCACATTAGGGCTGGCTGACTCATTCCATCCTCCCTCAAGTGCCAGTGTTATCACTGGAGCTGAAGAAAAAGCACGTAGATGGGTATGGCTGCCAGTATGTAGATCAAGGAACATGGGCTTCAAAGGAGTGAAGTTCTTTATGCCTAGTTGCCTGCTCAATAAGCGCATAGCAGTATCAAAATTGCCAGCAGCTGCATGTTCACCAGCAAGAGACGACCTCTGGATCCAAATCTGGCTTACAGGCATGCCAGGGCTTGGGGCAACAAATACTGCAGAACGGGAGCCAACAGTAGCCTTTGGAGTAACGACCTCGGGTGGGAGCTCCAAATCCTCAAGGTCCCATCCACCCTCTTCCTCATTTTCTCCACACACTTCTCCATCCTCTACCACCACAGCAATGTCACCATTCTGCATGCCATTTGCATCAACAATATCCAAGTCCTCACCCCAATCACCCTCAGCAGCCTCTTCATCATCTTCCTCTGCACCCCTCCCTGCATTATCCAGTCCACCCTCAAAGATACCTTTCATAACCCTCAACAAAGGCCAATCTCCTCCACAGAGAATAGGTGATGGAGGCATCAGAAGCGATGATACTCTCCCCTCTGGCAAGGTTGGAACATTATCTCCCAATTCAGCTGCAAGACGTTCAGCAACATCCTGGAGACCATGGACAGCAGCAGTAACATATGCAAGGGGCAAATGACCAGCATTCTCCAAAATTTTGACACGCTCCTTGACATCACCCAAGTACAGGGCATTATGAAATTGGCCCATCACATCATTTTTTATTTCAGCAATTCTCAGCATTTTAGACAGTTTGTCCATATTCCCTGTTACCAAATACAGGAAGGATAACCTCTCAAAGTTCTTTGTCCTCTGGTATGCATATTCTACAATACTCGCATTGCCCTGGCGCAAGGCCTCTACCCCCAACCTATACCAGTGGTCTTTCTCATCGATCTCCTTAGCTGAAGCAACAGCGATCTGAATGTTACCACTCTCAAGTGCCAAGTTGAATCGAGTTCTCTCATCTTTTACAAAATGAAGAGCAACTTCTGGGAAACCTTTCTGCTGCAAATAGGCAATCATGGCCTGCCCACAGAGCTGTGAGCTCCTGATCATGCTCATAACCTGATCATATCTCTTCTTTAAAAGGGAGAGCTTGAAAACATACTCTGTTGCATCAATTACTATTGTGCGGTTCTTTCCGTCCCGGTCCAAGCAAAATATGGTGTTGCCAGAAACCTTGGTAATGTATATTGGGACATCAAGGGTCCTGATGATCCCACTATCCGCATTAGGAAGGCAATACTTTATATGGTTCAGAGTTGTATATATGAAGACACCATTGTCATCCCAAGCTCCACTTTTTACACGGATGGTCTCGTGAAGAGTGCAACGATGCGTTAGTTTCTTACTAGCAATAATGATAGCATGTTTGCTGAGCAATGCAACAGACTCCATGTCATTTGACCAAACAACATACTTAACAAAAGGAGTCTGAAGATCACCCAGAACAAGTCTTTGCTGCAGGTCAAAGATGACCACTTTATCCTCTGCTCTGCACAACAGATTGCCAGTTCCAGCATAGAATATTGCATCTGTAGCAATAGGAAGTCCACTTTTCTTCACAACCTCATTCTTAAGGTTTTTAACCAATACTTGGTTGCTGCTCTTGTCGAGAACAGCAAACCTGTTTCGAGCCACAAATATGGCTGAACCTCCAATTCCTCTTTTTGCCTCTTGCACTGTATCACCCCTTCCAATGCTGTCTTTGGGTACAATATAAAGTTCATATGAACCCCCATCAGCATCTGAACATACCAAGACGGCATTTTCTGTGGGGCTATAAGACAAAGTCCTAGGGCCTTGGTTTAAGCTGGTGGAACCAGGCCGCCGTATTGGGATAACTTGGTTGTCCTTCTGAGTCGAGAATTCATATAAGCGCAGGAACCGGTCTTTGATGTAGTACAAATTATCACCACTCACAGAAAAAGCAGGTCGTTCTCTCTCCAACTTAAATACAATCATACCACTATCATGACCAGCTGCTAGAAGGTTCATCTCTGGATGAGCTGCAAGAATCCAGAAGCGATCATGCTCCCTACGGAAAGTCTGAACACCTGTCCGCTTTGTTACATCCCACACACGAATGCTTTTGTCCTCTGAATTTGACACAATAATGTCCTGCCTAGCATGGAACATCACACATGACACATTATTCATGTGTCCTCTCAATGTGTCAACTTCCCAAGCCTTTGTATCTGAAAAGAGAGGTTATTTCACTTCAGTTGTTGCTAGCATTCCACAAAGTTCTAAAATCAGATAAAGAAGAAGAGACTGAAGGCAAAATTGAAGAGTAACTTTTTTTTTCTTTTGTTTTGAGGGAGGGTGGCTTATAACATTACCATTCATGCGCCAAAGTTTCACTTGGCGATCATCTGCTCCAGACACAATCAAAGGCAGGCTTGGATGGAATGCAGCCCAGTTGACTCCCCGATCATGCCCTTCTAGGACATATTTAACAACGGCATCAACACCACCAAACAAGTCTGTGTTCATCTGACTAAGCCGCAGAATGTCATCTGCAGGGGACACCGTCTTCTTTCGCAGAGCACCAATATCCCAAACACGAACAGTCTGATCTAATGATGCCGATACAACCAAATCCTCTTTAGGATGGAATGTGGCACACATGACATAATGGTTGTGTCCAGTTAATACAGAAATACAAGTGCGAGATTGCCAATTCCATATTCTGATGGTCTGATCGTCACTTGCACTAACAATCCATGGGTACTCATTGTGAAATTGAACAGTGCGTATGTAATCCAGATGGCCAAGAAGAGTGAACAGACATCGATGCATCTTGTAATTCCAAACTTTAATCTTGTAATCGTCTCCTGCACAAGCCAGCATTTTTCTATAAAACAAAGACTAATGGCCTCTATAACCTTCCAGAAAGCAGATCAGGCATTCAGAAACACAACAATCACATCACAAAAGAACCAAAAATAATGCATAATGCTAAGGGCATTTTATGCATTCGTTAGAGTTTTGATTATTTATATAATTATCAACAACGAAATGCTAAATTTGGGTGTCAAAACAGGTCACCCATGCAATATAATGAAGAACAAGGAACAATTTCTGACACCTAGATCTATTCCTGCAATACCAATCAACAACTTGAGCAATAAATCCCATCAATGAATCTGCTTGAGATTTAAGATTAAAATGGAGGCAATTTAAGCAAAATCAACGCATTCACAAACAACGGGCCTTATAAGTAACTGTGATTGGAGAATTTACAAATGCATGGAAGACGAGAATCAAATGTTCACAGAATAGCAGAATTATGTACCTCCGGAGACAAAGAGCGGCTGAGATTTGTGGAAATGGACGCCACGAACAGGTCCATCGTGCTCGTCGAATCTATCTATAAGAGTACCCATCCTGTAATCCCAAAGCTGGATCACACCGCTGTGAAGACTCGCAAGAATCCATGGTCTTTTACTGTGAAAACTGAGGCCTTTCACTCGATTACTCTTAGTTTCGAATTTCGTCAGCATCGTTTGCAATTAAATTTTAAACCCTAACGACTATGAACTGCATCGAAACATAAAACGAATTTCAGCACAACTTACTCAATCACGGAACACACTAACGCATACCCACAACCACTCCACAGATCAAACCAAGTTCAAAATTGCCAATCAGAACTTGTTTCAATAACCACCGTAACTCTTTGATCCAGATGCCGCAGAGTACAAATCAGATACAGATCTACAAGGATGAATTTTTTCGAGATGACAAAAGATTTCAAGAAAATAGATGAAAATAATTTACCTCAGATCTGAGAAGGAGAAAGTCGGATCAAGCGGACCCTCTGGACGCCTCTGCAGTGGCCACAATCAACGGCAGAGAACGAAGAAAGAGGGAGAGTGAGTGAGGAACGGCGCGTAGGATAAGCAGAGGCAAGAGTGCCGGTTAAGAGGTACGTAGATCGGGAACCCTGAGAAGAGAGAGAGAGAGAGAGAGAGAGAGAGAGAGAAGAGGCAAAGATTTTCAGTTCTCTGGCAGATCTAGCCTCGACTAGTATCTCTGTGTGTATGTTTGTATGTAAGAAAGAAGGAAAACGAGGCGGAGGATCAAAAATAAACGAGGCCAGGGAGATGATTTTTCTCCCTCTCTCTCTTTGTAAATTCACAGATCGAAGAGAAAGAGGGTACTGACACGCGAATTAAAAATGTTTTGGTTCCACCGTGTTAAGGTAGGCGATATTTAAACCTTCTCCGATCTACAAGCATTAAAGAATCTCTGTTGTCAATTTTTACCATTTAGACGGTCGTGATGCTCCGGAGTCGTCTTTCTTGGTCACAAAGGTGCTTATCTGAGAATGAGATATAGGATGGGATCATCAACGGTAGAGATGTGACTTATGGTGCTGTCAAGAGTGTTTTTTACCGTTGGATTGAAGGGAGAATTTTCCCCATTCAAACCCTTCACTCTTAAGAAAAAAGAAAATGTAATCCGAAATCAGATCGAAAATTGACCCGATCGGGTTTGGATAGGAAGAATTTGAGACTAGTACGTGGTATGTGGTCCAACTGTTATTTTGATTTACTTTTGTCGTCAATCTCATCAAGTCAGTTAGCCAGAGGAGAGCTATTTCTCTTCTTGGAATTGGAATTTGGAGGGTGCTAAGAAATGGGCCGGCTTTGGAATTGGATATTGGAAATGGCAATAACCCAATTCAAAATGACCCACATCGGCCCGAGGCTTTGTATCCGTGGTGTGGTGTCGGTGGGCCTTGTGTTGTTCCAAGCAGAGCACGAGGGCTCTTAACGTTCCCAGCGAGGACTCTTATTTGTTGGCTTGGCCCTCCTCAATCCTCATTTTAATTTTTTTATTTTAGGGTCTGTTTGGTTCACAGGTGGAAGTAGAATTGGAATGGTCTATATATTATGGCCTGAAATTCAAATTGGAATCGGATTTGAAATCAGATGGAATGAAATTAGGCATGGTTTTTAAAACCAAATCGGACCAGATGGTCGGATCAGAAAACTGTCGGATTTGAAATCCATTTTCCATAAAATCAGATTTTCTCCAAAAAACCGTTGATTTTGGTCAACAACCGCTGGCCCAGGTAGTTAACCGTTCGAATGGTTTTGCAAATCGGACCCCTAACCGGTTCAGTCTCCGAGTCAATTTGCAAATCGGGTGGATTGGGCCAGGTTTATGGTCATCGCAGGCCCATGCCCGAATTGAGCATGAAGTCAAGCCTGAGCCAGTGTACATTATAATTCGATGCATTCGGGTTGGGTTCGGGATATTGGTAGCTATCTGTATGGACACTTTCCTGTCTCGAATGCGTCTCGTGGTTCCACCAAACCACAGTCAGATTACGATAGACGCTACTTCCTGGATCCACCAGCTCTTGCTTATGTCGGTTGAGCGGCTATAAAAATCGAACAAATATGGTTTGATCTTAAGGTGCTATGATATCATACGTCAGGTTGCTCCACCAGAACCTCCAACTTCTGGTGGAGCTATGATATCGAACAAATATGTATGTATGTATGTATGAATGTGTATAATCAGGCTAAGTTCAAGTTGGGGCAAGATTAGGCTAGACTCGGGCTAACTAAGAGTAAGGCTCAGGCCCAACCCGAAAAATTAAAAAGCCTAAATTCTTGGGCCCAAGCCCACCCTAGGGATCGAAAATCCAAGCTCAAATGAGCTCTTATTGTTGGGGTAGGAAACTAATGTGATGTGGATAGATTTTTATAAAGTACTTTTGTACGTATGAAAGTACAAATTTATGAAAAACATGATGTAGCATTTATATTATATGCTTTATACTTTTGTTTTCATACTTTTTAAAAGTACGAAAAATCCTAAAAGCACGAAATCGGTTTTTCATACTTCATGTTTTTTTAGTGCTTCCATTTTCATGTGAACCGGTGGTCACAATTTGATAAAATTCTCAACCCTACCTCTGTTCGCCGTCACAGAAATCATGAATGGGCATGCTTTTGCCAAATAGAAAATGGTATTTTTGTTTTGGAAGACACACTTCAATTTTTTTACCCAAATGGTTTTCAAAGCAAAAATACCAAAGTAAAAGTATTTTATGTACTTTGCACTTTGGTATTTTTAAAAGTACAAAAGTAGAAGTCTATCCAAATAGGCCCTAATTTAGTAAGACAATTTTTAGGTTTAGGCCAACATATTGCATTATCATTTATCATTTTTTGTTCACATCAGTGCCTAGAGGCATTCATGTAGAATTGGGGATGAATCTTGTTTGCCTATAATCAACTAGTGGTGTTTTTCTTTTTTCTATTTTTTTAAGTTATATATAGAGATGCAATTTCTACCCCACCCGGTGGGAACCCACCTCAATGGACTAGGTTTTTCGAGTTCACATCTCCACCCCACAAGGAGCCACCCCACAATGCCCCACGAGACATCACCACCGTGAATTGAGTACATCTCCCAATGATAGTACCAGTCTCGATGATGTCATCATAGGGAGATGTTCCCAATACACGACGGAGATGTGTTGTGGGACATTGTGGGGCGGAGATGTGATCTCGGGTTTTTTTGCTTGAAAGATGGGTTTTGGGATTCTACCACTTGTATGGGTATGAGTAGGCTAAACCCAATCTTCCCTGACCTACATATTGTTGGAAATCATATATAACTTTATGTATTTGATGTTGAATTTAATAATATTTTGAATTTTATGTGAAAGATAATTGATATTTTGTATGTTTTTTACATGCTTTAATCAAATAATTGGAAATCTTGTTGTTTGTTTATGTTATTTTACTATTTATTGCTTATATATAACAAGAAATACTAAGAAATTAGATGTGGATTCTAAACCCAATCCGTCCTACACTTTTAATACAGGAAGGATAGGGTCAAAGAGGGTTTTGCATTTTCATGTGTAGAAAAAGTTTGGATTTTCAAAACCCAATCCATTATGAGTTTTGGAGTAAGTATGAATTGAGAGGTTTAAGGAGGCAGGTGGAGTATAGAATTTACAAAACCCAAAACCACCCTGTTGCTATCCCTAATTATCTAAAAAAAATTTAAGAATAAAGCACCCTAATTATCTATCAAAAAACTTAAGAATAAAGCACTTTAAATAGTTGAACCAACCAGATTTTCCAAATAAATAATGCATAAACAGGATGATGTATTCGAGATCACATCTCCGTCCCACAGCACATCCCCGCCCTGTATTGGGAACATCTCCCGATGATGACATTATTGGGACTGGTACTATCATCGAGAGATGTTCCCGATACATGGCGGGAATGTGCTGTGGGGCGGAGATGTGAGCTCGATGTATTCATGTCTCACCATGACAGAAAGTAGCTGAGACGTCATTGGTAATAAATACCTACTAAGTTTATATTGACAATTGAAGCAAATGCCTATATGTTACTTGGGGATTCGTTACATTTTAGCATTTTTCATCGTTCAACCAAATTGTTGATGTGGCAAGTTACTTAAAGGCAAAAAGTAGAAAAGGCCATTATACCAAACACCTTCAAAAGTTACACCTGCTGAGTGATTACTATTACAGTATTACTACATCACTAAAAATACTAAAAAAATAGCCATTTTTACTTTTCAAAATTAATGGCATGTTGGTCTTCTTTTTAAACTAAATGAAATTCTATCAAAGACCATATGGCTGTGTTTGGTTGTAGTGCAAATTTTGGTCTCACTTTGGTTTTGCTTTTGTTTGTTTGTAATTATCATTTGCATTTTTATCTGATACAAAGTTTATATTTTTTATTATTTTCTTTTTTTTTTTTTTTGCACTTATTGATAGTGCAAATTGTGCATCCCAGAAATTAATACAAAATTCACACCACTTTCCTTTTATCTCAGTTCTTTCTCGGAAGGGGAGATCGGAGACCACATCATCTTGCATCCAACCTTATTACCAGGCAGGTGACCTTCCTACCTTATTACCACATCATGCTTGGAGGTCATTTCATTTTACTTCCTATTGTACTTCTGACAAAATAAATAAGACAGCCAAATCTGAAACAAAAGTAAATCAGCATTTATACAACCCTTTTGTACTCTCATTATCCCAAATATTTACACTAGTGCAAATGAAATTTATACTGCAACCAAACACGGTCTAAATACAAAGGTCCGTTTAATTGTGTAAATGCTGTTTGGCATGTCAGTGGATTACTTGTTTTAGAAATAGATTTTTAATCCACTTCAATAAGGACCAGTGTGGTGGCTGAGTTGAAAATTCATTTCAGCTGCTTCAAAAAAAATGACTGCATGACAACTAAATAGAATTCTCTTGAACCAAGCTGTCTTGTATTGAGACCATCTAATAAGGACAGAAGCTACTACATTTCAATTAAAGCTGTAAAGTGGGCCATGCTGCCCACAATATATATATATATATATATATATATATATAATTTTTTTTCAAAACGGGCACAATACATATTAATATATAGTAAAACATTAATGTGTATATAGGCATACGAATTTTTATTTTCAATTTCATTATATTATTTTATTCTAATTCGATAGTATTTTTTCAATTTTTTGTTGATCTTATTAATTTATTCTAACTTTTTATATTTTTATTTTTTAAATAATTGTACCAATCAATGACACAGCCCACTCCCCTCTCAGAGGATTTGTGCCAAGCAGACAGCCCACATGTCAGCACGGCCCAGCCTGCAAAAGTGCGCTCCCAAGGCCCAATAAATCCTCCAGCTCAGCGGCTTCAACCCTTAAAATAGCCCCTGATCGAATTCAGATTGATGCCCACAGAACGCGCCTCACATACACATCTCAGCGTTCATTGAAAACATCTCCTTATCATGGGGAAATGTTTCCAACACATGGCTGGGATGGGCTGTGGGGCGCCGATGCAAATTCCCTCCGATCGTCACAATTAAGCTGTGTTTGGTTTGATAGAAAATAAAAATTCCCCTCAATTTTCTGCTTCTCTCTTATATTCCGTCGAATCAAAGTAACATCAGATTAATTGTTTGTGTGGGCATATAAACATGCGCTTCATCAATTTTTGATAAATCAATTTAATTCTGAATGATAAATCTAATCGTGGAATTAGACAAAGAAAATTCTTCGACAAAAACTACAGGAAAAGCGTAATAACAATTCCAAACAAATAATACAGATCTATCAGCAGGCGGAAGTTGAAGTCTCCGTCTCTCAATTGGACTTGGATTCGGATTTTTCCTGGGAATCGTTTCTGTAGCGATTATTATAATCTTCCAGCTCTTCGTAGTACACATCCCAGACGCATCGAACGCACCCACTACCGCAGCAATCACCGGGCAATGGCTTTTCCGGCGGCGAAGGAATTTTTTCAGCCGCCCCTTTGTTCTCATCCTTGGCATCGTTTCTCTCAATCAGCATATCTTGTTTATTCTTCTTCGCCGCATCAGCCATCTCTGCTTCCACCCCCCGAATCCGATTGTGGTGGTGGAGGTGACAATGATGAAGGTATCCGCGCGGGAGACGACAAGAAGCCCTTAGATTTCGATATGGAAAGGGAATGGTATCGACAGCCTTCAAAACCACCTCTCCTCCGGCTCCTCCAGCTCTAAGTCTAAGGGTCGGGCCTAACTTCATGACCAATTCTTCGATATCTAGTATCTTTTGTTTATGTATTCGTCGAGAAGCTGCAACGAAGCGGAGGTATTCCATCGTGCATCGCAATATATTCCATAAAAACTAAAAATCGGAGGATCAGACCTATCTAAGAACTTATAAATTCGTCAGATCTCGAATGGGGCCCATACCATAGACCCCATACCCATAGTCAATTTGACCATGCGTCCAATCAAGAGCCCATACATTATCACTGCTATCTGCAATATTAGGGCCTGTTTGGTTTACCGGAGACCATGCGTCCAATCAAGAGCCCATACGTTATCACTGCTATCTGCCAATATTAGCGCCTGTTTGGTTTAAGAGAATAGGAATTGGAGTAGCCGACTGTTTGATTGGACAGAATCGAAAGCCCATTCTCGTTACGCCATTCCCTCCCCTTCCCTTAGAATGAAATCCCATTCCAACTTATATAAATTTAGATTCTTATTTATGTCTAAAATCCATGGTTTTTAAAAATGAATCGGTGACCGAACCGGTCAGGGGTTCGGTTCTAGATTCAAACGGTCCGACCGTTCAACTCGACTGGCCAACCCATTCTGACAAAAAAAAATTAAAAAATTGGAAAACAGTCAAAACCATTCGAACGATTAACCGGCCAGTTCAACAGTTTGCTGACCAAAATCAACGATTTTGGGGGAAAAAACGATTTTAGAGGAAAACGAACCCCGTTTTTCTGGTCCGACCATCCGGTCCGGTCCGATTTTGAAAACAGTGCTGAAATCTGAATGAATCAGACTATGAGAATAGTTTATTCTGATTCAAATTTTAAGGGATTTTGATTCTGATTCCGGTTCCAATTCTAACTGCCAACCCAACAGACCCTTAGATTTCCACAAATTGAATAATCTGATCAATCCAGACCATACATTTGTACTGAACCCAATCATGTGGTGGTCAGTTCGAGCAGAAGCTCCTCCAAATGGCTAATGCACTGGACCCGGAGTGCTGAATTTTTGGACTGGATTTGGCCATTGAGTGGACCAAATGCATTGATTGAAGGACCAGGACATCGCTACATTCCATAATCCTTGATTGGAAAGTAATGACTGAAAAAAATATTATTGTAAAGTGTTCAGTTGGGCCTAAAAATGGATTTTGGAAAATAAAGCTTTCCAGAGTGAGATTATTCATTTTGATTTTTTCCAAATCCCAAGTCATTTTCCAAACAGCAAGCAGAGATTGGTTTTCTAATTCATATCTTGCTTGCAATGTTATCATTTATTTTTGTTGAGGCTTATTTTTCAAAACCAAAACAACTAAAGTAGGATTTGCTTTCATATTGAGTATGATGATTTGTTAAGGGAATCAGTCGTTTTCCTTCATTTCATGTGCAACCAACCAAAGCGATCGTGTACTTGAAATTTTTACTTTTCAAAAATGCCCTTAGACAAAGTCTCAAACAAAGGTCATCTGTACAGTGCAGTAGTGCTCAACCATGGGATCCCAACAATTTTGCAAAGAGTCTATTGACCATTTCCCGTGCTCCTACTGCGTCTACTATGTTCTTTTGCTTGAAACACAACTATTCAATCAACTATGAACGTCCTATGACAAGAATACTTCCAGGTCCCAACTCACTACCATTATGCATTCTACATATATACACAACAACTCCTGTATTTCAAATCAGTCAATTTTGAAATCTCTGTTTCACCAAGAATAATGTATCGAGATAGGATTAAGCTATTGCAGGCTGTGGAACTAATAATATTATAATAACACTCCACACCAATCATAAAATGCATGGGGCCCACAACCATTCAACTTCCGTGTGGCTGTGTGAGCCCCATAAGTTTCGTCAGTGGCGTGGGGCATTATCATTGGTTCAGCTAATCGGAATGCCTTTATTTCTGACATACTGGTTGGGAAAAAATTAGCAAAAAAATAGCAACACAAAAAACAGGGCACCTTTTTGGAGGAATGCAATAAACAGATGGCTAATAATAATCTCTTGCAACTTTGCTGCATATGAAACATCATCAGCTAATCAGTAATCACCTGTATTGCTTATATAATACAAATATGGAGTGATTTCCAACAAATGGATTCTCCAAGAAAAATGGATACATATTTTCTCAACTAAGTTCCTGGCCCACTGGCTCCTTGATAGTGTGTAATTCATCTTCCAAAATTTTAAGACAATTCACTTTCACATTCAAATTCCAGAACAATTGCAAGGCCTTGGCCTGTCTGGCATTCGATTCCAAACTGTGTATATCATTGTGTTTTACCTTGAAGTACTTGGATGATTTCCTCTGTTCTTGATTGGATACCTTTTACATACTCAACCAGAATACGCTGCTGGTATGATCCCCCTTCCTGCACCCAAAAAAAGAAAGTTACAACAACATCAACAATGCAGGAGCATTTGAAATTGCTGTAACCTGATTGTTGAATGGTCTTACTGTTCGGATCAAAATCCGCTCAATTCGTTTCTTAATGACAGCATAGAATTCATCTGGGGAAACTTCTCCTTTGCCAACAGTGAGACCATTTATCAGCAGCCTATTCCATTCTTCCTCAGGTGCTGCAGCACAAATAGAAAAAGAAAAAGATGGTTGTTTAGCAACACCATGGAAGAACCTCATCCAGTTGGATCATCATCATAATCACATAAGCCTTATCCCAACTATATGGGGTTGGTTACATGAATCCTGTGTAGCCATTCCACTCTAGGTAATGGCACATCCATTATTAAATAATGGGCGCTTAAATCATTTCTTACTACTTCGACCCATGTCCTTTTTGGTCTGCCCCTAGCCCTTTAGCCCCTTCAACTTGTAACAGATTGCTTTTTCTTATGGCTGCTGTAAGTGGTCTTCTATGCATCTGAGCAAACGATCTTAGTGTACTTTCTCTCATTTTATCACCTATTAGAGATACTTCTAGGTTCCTCCGAATGGCTTCAGTTTTGACCCTATCATTTCTAGTTTTTCCACTCGTCCATCTCAGCATATGCATTTCTGTCACACTCATTTTTTTGGACATGTTTCTTGACTACCCAACATTCTCATCCAGTTACACACATTATTAACGTTGATGAGAAAAGTAATTCTATGATTACACCAGACAAACCGTAAACACAGTCGATGAATGGCTAGAAGTTCTTGAACGCATTAAAGATCTTTTGGTTAAACAAGGAAATTTTCAAAACCAAGTTCTGATCCAACCCCATGATTCAAGCTGTCCCATCCATCACATGTTTGGTTCAAATATATACATGCACGTAGAATCATTATGTACGGCTCATTTTTTCCCTCACTAGTTTTCCATAAGAGAACAATAAAAAAACATCACTTCCTGCACGAGGCTCATGCTAATATTAATATAGATAGGTTAACCCTTTGGTCCACCTAGGTACTACCTTGTTCTTCATCAAAAGATAAGGCCTTAAGCCCTTGGTAGTTTAGAGTAATTTCTGATCCAACCCATATAACCCACCCAAGCCACCTACCTAGGTTAGAAATGGGTTGAATCATCCATTTGATTGATTTATGGGATGGGCTAGGTTGGGTAAGTTGTATGCATTGGGTCAACTTCAAATGAGATAGATTGGAGCTTGCATCTAGCTTGATTGAGTTGGGTTACAGTGGGTGGGTGAAGGTTGGGTTGGGTGCACGCTCTTAGCCTCTATTTAGATAGGTGTTAAATGAGTTGATGGGTTAAATGGGTGGGTTGTACCACAACCTACACACCACCCGCCCAAACCCAGCCAATCTCTGCCTCTACTGGTATATTTATGGATATGCAACATCAGTTTCAACTTCTAAAACACAATACAGAAAGGAGAAAAGAATTTATAAAAAAAGTTCACCTACCAAAAAGAACTGATAAGATGAAACATCCAGTTCAGGGAAATTCTCTAAAAGTTCTGCCTTAATGATTACTGTGTGTATTTTGAAGCATGTGTTACCCAGCACTAGGTAAGCAAAGAATGGTCCCATGACTTCTGGTTAAATCCAAATCTTAATTGCTATGGAGTTCAATATCTAATGCCAATTTATAGGAGCTAGGTTTTCCTTCACACCCACCAAGAGAAAATGCCAAATGGACAGCTTCTCTGGGAAGAAAATTATGACTGAAATTGGAATTAACTCAATGGATCAATGCTGAGTTTCCATGGATAGATAAACCACACAAACAAGTAATGGGTGAAAAGAGAACATTTTATTTATATAAAAGCTGACAATGCAGGCCACTTGTTAATTTGACAAGTTTACATTCTTCTGAAACTAGTCAACTTAATAGTTTAGAGTAGAACTTTGACAGAAATAGTACCTCTGATTATGTTCTCAAGAAACTCCTCAGCCTTTAAAACTTTACTTCCTGTTCCAGAAATATAAACTGAGACTACCAATCCAGAGTAAACAGTCTAACAAATAAAAACTACCTATCTTGCTTAATACAAAAGAAATTTACATGTGGGCAAGTGACCAAGCTACAAGTATTGGATGATAAAATGTATGATTAGGAGGCGAAAAGTTATTGCTTGCATAAATAATTCATCTGAGAGAATGAAAAGAAAATGGGAAATCTGTAGGATAACATTTCAACATTAATAATTATACAGCACCCTTTACATTTTAAACTTAATAATCAGCAAAAGACAAAAATGGGAAAGATCGCAAATGCAAAATCTAAGAAACAAAGTTAAACTATACGCAACAACATTATCGTTTATATCATTCCTTTCCTACTAGTTTTAGAACTTGTCATTCACCTCATTGAAGAAATATCACATCTATAAATATAATTAATTATACACACTAACAGCATAGGAAGGAAGGATTAGAAAAAATTGAAGCATGATTCAATGACCATGAAGGAATCAACTTCAATCATTATTGGGCATCCAAATCCACCTACATAGAAGTCCAGACCAAATAGGCTATTTATCTCTATCCAAGACAAACTGAGATTTGTTCTTCTTTTGGAGTAATATAACCAACATAGATGAGAAAACTAACTACCTTGTGCTTGACAGTCCCAGGCTTCAGCACATATCTCAGCTTTTACCAGCCAACACCCCCTCACCGGAAAAATAAAGAAAAGAAAAGAAAGAAAGAAAGAAAGAAAGAAAGAAAAACAGAAGAGATAAATTAGGAGATATACTACTGTTGGTGTGAAAATTTTAAGAAATTCTCATGTAACATAATTCACTCAGTCAAATGATTGAGTTCTTATTTTGTCTGTTTTGTTTTTTTGGATAAGGCCCATTCAAGGAATCGTATAGATTGCTCCCCTTAATTACATCTCTACAAGAAAGTAGAAAACACCTTTTGATTCTGACTTAGAGAAATGAACATATAGAACAACAAAAAAGAAAGAATAATACAGTACTTGAAAAGAAATTTTCATTTACATTTCTTTACATACCTCAAGTGTACGAGAATGAGAAACAGAAAGATACAATCGACAAACTTTATAACAAGACATTTCTCTCTTTCTTTTCTACAAAGCAAATTTCTTTCTCACTCCTTTCATCACAATAAGCCACAGTCAATCAGTAAAATTGACTTTGTTTACGAGAAGGGAACTATAGTCAGTAAAATTGGCTATTTGACTGTAATCAGTTTTTTATCCCTCTATCTCATCTTCAAAGGAAGGGAACCAGAATCAGCCTTTGGGAATAAGACTATAGATGGTTTAATCCCTAACCTGTTTTGATAGAGGGACCATAATCAACCAAGTAAAAGCACCTGGCCGTAGATGTTTTTTTTTTTACTCTATTTCCTTTATTAGAAGTAAAACAAAAGCAATAATAAGGATACATATTATGAAAGCAAAAGACACATATAAGAGGCATTTATAGAGAGGACTTCCCTTAACCAACCTGTGTTAGTAAGATTTCCTTTTCTCTTCCCCATCTTCCCCTTCCCTTTTACAAGACCTTTGCTTTTCTTCTCTCTTTACTTTGGCTTTTCTTAAGAATCTCTAAGAGTGGTTTGATCTAAGACACAATTTTCTCCAAAGACACCTTCAGTTTCCCTCTAAGGAGCTTAAATAGGGATTGGGGTAGTTATGCATCTACCCCCTCCCCCTATGTGAAGGACACCTCGCCTTTCCACTTAAAGAGAGGGAACACCCATATAGGACACCTCATTTAGTTTTGATGTTTTTATGTAGGACACTAGCCAACCTATTTACTTGAATTATAAACAATTTTAAGTTTATCCGGGCTTGTTAAAAATTTACTTTCAACAGTGCCACCTTGAGCACAGTGAGCCCAAAATAATGGGCCTACAAGGCTCAAATATGTGATTAGAATCAAAACTTATGGAAATTTTATTATTATAATGGAATTGAGCCTAAATTAGAAGTTTTACTATAATTAGGGCTCTTAGAGTATCTCTCATCAAACAAAATCTGATAGAATCTAATTACTAGATTGATTTGATGAGGCTTCATATTAACTCTCGTTAAATTGAGAAATCCTAGTCCAACTAGGACTCTCAAGATCCTTATATTTCATTATGCTTGACTTTATTAATTGTGTGATTTGATTTGAATATTTTGAGGGTTAATCACAAATCACCTTTGGTTTACCTTTAAATCTAGTTGAAGAATCCCAGTTGAAGCAGGTCTCCTTGATTTTATCAAACCACCTTTGATTTACCTTTAAATCTTGATCCTAAGTTGTTTTGACCAAGATGATTATTTTGTAGGTTCATAAAGTAAGAATCTTGTTTAAGGTAGGTTTTGTGGAGGAGCCGTAGCTTGAAAAGGATTCTTTTGCTCCACAAAAATAATGATGTAATTAGTTTTTGTTTTTTGGCTGAAAATAGAAGAGCCCTAATCTGAATAGGATTCTTGTATCAATAGAAACAACAAAGAGCGATTTCTATGAAGCGAAGAGTGGAACAAAACTCCCTTGCATTGGAAACCTAAAGTGACTAGGACCTAATTGTGCCTATAGCCTGAATGATAGGGACTCTGCTTCTTCTAACATAGCATCCAAAGATGGAAATGATTTATTTCCCTTTCCCTCCCTTTTTTGTTTTTTAATTGATTGATGCTTTTAATTAAAATTTAAACAACAAGTGGGCCCTTGAGGGTATTAATGGTCTACTTGAATTGGAAATATTAGAAGGGGCTGAATTTGGAAGCCTATTAGAAATTTGGGCTTATATTTTCTTTTTATGTGTGTAGGAGGGTTTGAGCTATATTTTCTTTTCATTTAACCCCTTTTAGGTGTGGTCCCAACCTCTTAACGTGTTTAAGAGGACTTGGGCATATATATTCTTTTTATTTATCCCCTTGAACATTTGTCTAAGCCCTTTCAATGATCCTGACTGGACTGAATAAGACTATTTAATTGGGTCTAAATTTAATGAGCCTAATTGGGTTGTATTGGACATTTAATTGGGCCTAAATTTAAAACCCACATGTTATCATTACAAGAGGTTTTGCGATTTCAATTTTTCCCTTATTTATTATTGACTGAATGATGTCTTTGAGAATGAAGCAATCCTTGATATTATGGCTGACCATCCTATGATGTTGACAATATTTTGGATCATTCATCTTGTTCACCATAGATAATCTCTTTGGTTTTGGCAACTTAATTGCCTTCGCCGCTAAGAGATGTTCAAAAATTCCTTCCACATCCTCATTATCAAATGAATATTTCTTTTCTTTAAGGGTTAGGGATTGAGATGAATTCTTCCCTTTTCCTTTATCTTTCTTCTTGAGGTTAACAAAAGTGGTCATTGCTTCACCTTTTACTGTAGGCTTCTTGCTATTTTTCTTCATTTCTAGAGGTAGGTTAGGTTTCTTTACTACAACCTTTTAACTTTCAACATTACTAACCTTGGAAACCAGTACATCAAATGACTGTGATTCACCAATACCTATAAAAGTAGCAGTCTCTCCCAAGAGATTATTAGCACACATTTGTACTGCTGAAGTTTCCTTTAACTACTCAACACATTGAAGATTCATGTTTCTCCAGCGTGTAATGAACTTATTTAAACTTTTATTTGGCCTTTGTTTTGCTTCATCTAGATCTATGATAGAAAATTTCCTCTTTGAGCCAATGAATTATGCTAAGAAAGCACGTTGCATATCATCCCATGTGATAATTGATCCTAGTGCCAACTGTGTGTACCATGTAAAAGCCACTCCTTTTAGTGATTGCGCAAATTACCTTATTAATAAGGTGTTAAACATCATTGACTCACCACATGCAAAACAAAAATGAGCCAAAATGTTCATGAGACCCATTTATTCCATCTAGCTTCTCAAAACTAGGCTTCTGATATCCTAGAGGAAATGGGAGTGTATCATAATGGGTAGGCTATGGTTTCCTGAAACCAAGTACTGGCTGCATAAGAGACACCTGGAACTCCTTTATTCCCTTTGTGATAAGTGCCTTTGGATCTATTTGAGTAAGAGCGGAAATTGATGTTGCCTATTGAGACAATTCTCTAGTAGGTGTACTTGTTTGAGCCGCCAATTGAGCAACAAGAGATGCAATTTCTGCATCCTTTTTCTTTACATCTTTTGGTGCATCTATTGAAATTGTTTTTCTAAAATTGAAGTACTGGCCACCATGACCATCATAGAAGTTGGTTCCAAGTCTTTTCCTGAGAACATGACCACTTCTTGTAAGTGGGATGTTATTTCATCCACAAATTCATCTTCCTGAATTGAAGATTTATAATCTTCTTGGATTGGATTAACTTTTGAAGTGATAGACTCACTAGTCAAACTTGAACTTGAAATGTCTTCAGAACTTTGCAACAATCAAGCCCTTGCTCGAGTGATAGGGCCTTCATAAGGCTTAACTTCTTCATTGGGCATGGTATATGCCCCTGATGCAAAGTAAAGGCATGCTTGTTCAGAAAATATGTATCCAAAGATGAATGCCCATTTTTTAGCTTCCATGCATGACTTTTCTTTCTTTAATCTTTCTATAGAAAAATAAACAAGGGAAATGGGAGCACTACTTCGTGGCTTCTAGCCTTTGGAGGTCTCTTGGACCTATTTTACAAATAGTAATTGAAGATTGTTGCGGAAGTTCTTTAGTAAGAGTAGGAGACTTCTGATTAAAAATGACTTTCTTCTCATGAGAGGAAGAATTCCCCACTTGAACTTCCAAGTTCAACTACCCAAGGCCTCAATTGTGTAGATGGAGGAACATCTAGTCTCTTCCTTTTTTGTAGCCTTAGTAGAGGCTTTAGGAGTAGATTTTTCTACAAAAAATAGTCACCATCATAACCGGTATGTGGTGATTCGTGGGGATTGGGAGAGGGAGAGAGAGAGAGAGAGAGAGGAAGAGAGAGGTACGGTTAAGAGAAAAAAGTGTCTACTGGCTGCCGCCGGTT